TTCCCATCGTGTTTCACGATGATATTAGCAGCATGTCGATTTAAAACTTCCCAGCGACGAGTTGATGCAGAAAAGAAAACATAAACACGTTGGACTAGATCAAAGAAGAATGTTGCTTCAAAGCAACATTTTGCAGCATCATTAACAGCCGAATTCAAGTTATGTGCACAGCAAGGAACAAACAATACTTGGGGAGGGGATTCGACATCAAATTTGTTTCGTTGGTTACCATTGTCTTTTCTCTTCATATTGCAGATTATATTGTCATATTGTCAGATCCTTGACCGCATACATTTTCGATAGATAAAGACATCTCTTCTAACTGACATAGAATAGTTTCAGTCATACCGGTACCAGTTGTCTCCTTTAGATGCATAAAACCCAAGAAATGTTCCTTTATAGATGCTGCTTCTGCTGCAATCTCATTTTCTGGATTTGAAATCACATCCACAGAGCGAATGATCATAGTCATCTGTTCAACATGACCAGCATCTGGTGTGCAATCTAAAATTATTGAAAAGTACTTAACACCCCGAGCAGATGCTAGAATTTTTTTTTTTGATTGCACTGGATAAAAGCTGAATAAGTTCATTCTGTATGTCTTTGCCTAGATAATGTACATGTGTCTGATTGTCCCTAATCTTTCGAAGATGCTCATCCATAACTGGGTCAAACAAAGCTAGAAATTCCACAAATTTCAGGAAGTTCCCGTTATCAGAAGTCTTCAGTTTCTCATGTGTTCTACGAAAAGTAATATTGTGCATACCAAGAACTCTAACTAAAGCAATCAGCCGTTTCAAGATTTGCTGCCAATACTGATCTTCTTTTTTAAATGAGACGCAAATGTTCGGCATCCATTGTTTTCATGTGTCGCATCGCAGCTCAAGTTCCTCCCATGACTGAACATTCGCCAGACGTTCACTGCTTTTCTCATGTCGTGATAGAATTGCGAACTTGTTTTTCCAATCATGTGAACCTTTATCAGAAAGAGAGGACGCACGTGTTGTGTTGGTAAATAGCTTGCAGCAGAAACAATAAACAGAGTCGTTACTTACAGAATACTGCAGCCAATGTCTGCGAATTTCATCTCCATTGACAAGCCTGCGGTTGTAATGAATTTTTGAGAATTTCCTTTGATTACTGTCTTTATGAAAATCAAACTGCTCAACTTTTTCTGGTCCATGTTTTATCAAAATTTGTCGCATATGATCATCAAATTCGGTCCAAGTAACAGGATAGCCATAGTTAACACATAAACCAGTTAAATTATTGATTTTATGCACTTCAGATTTTGTTTCTTGGTGCGTACCGTGCATTTCATTTTGTGCTTCAAACTCTTCGGATACTGTCATCTCCTCGGATTCCACGGCTTCCTTGTCTGCTTCGGCTTGATTGTTTAACTCCCTTGGACCATCTTCGTCTCTGTGCGGTGTGCATAGATACTTTAACAACGAGTCTCCTTGTTTTTTCACGCATTTTTCATTTTCAGGCCGCTGTTTACGATACTGTGCGCCATGGGGATTGAAATAACGACGGAAACTGCAAAATAAAATTGTATTATTGTTTACTATTTTGCCATATTTTTAATTCATTTTTGTAAACAAAATAATTGCAATTTATATATTATACAACTTTAAATATCTAAATCAAATGATTTTAAATATAACGTTTTGCACAAGTCAAACTAAATGTCTTACGCCCCTGCTTACACAGAGCTCAGAGGCTCAGCCCATGTGCCCGGGTTTAAATAGGGTAACCAGGATTCTCTGCGTGAGGCTGGCGTCGGGGAATGGCATCCGGCCGTCAAAACAAATCGCTCCAAAACTCCATTGAGTTGCAACACCCGTCAGAGTTAGTGCCCTCATTTGTCCAAGTATGTCCTACCCATGCCGAGCGTTGAAACATAGGAATTTAAACGGTAAAAAAGAAGAAGAAGAATCTACCTAAGGTTACTAAGGTATTTAAGTAGCCTGTCGACGATAATCAAATTCAAATTATTTATTTTATTTTCATTATTGACGTCATTTCATTTCACCGGTAGTGGCGGTATTTGCCCGTAACGTAAGTAAGTAAATTATTGATTAAATTTATACTTTTCAATTCGTTTCATTCGTTTTAATAAAGCAGCAAAGATTAGTGTAAAAAAACTATCCAATTTAATTCAATGTTTTAATGACGGCATCACTTTACTAAAAAAATAGTCAATCCACTTATTACTAAAGGGCGGCAATTTTGTTATATTTATATTTTTTTACGTAGCTCATAGTCGCACACTGTCGCCCCATAAATTTGCCACCCTAGGCGGTCGCCTAGTTCGTCTAGTGGTTAAACCGGGCCTGCCTATAGTCAAGGATTGTCGCTGCTACTTTCTTACGCCTCGTCGTCGCTCTGCATTGAAATCTGTACACACACCGTCACACAGCCACGTGCTTGTAATGATTTTTAATACAGTGGAACCTCTCATAATGAGTTTAATTCGTTCAAGAATCTTACTCGTTAAGCGAAACACTCGTTAAACGAAACAGTTTTTCCCATACAAATCAATGTAAAATACGATAATGCGTTCCATGCTGAACAAATACTAATTTTTCAAAAAAATTGAATAACATTTATTCAAATAAAATTACTTATGAATTTTTAAGGAGTGTAACAGCTTTGAATACAATTTAGATTTGAAACAAAAAAACGTAAATAAAAATATGAATTTGTGAAAATAATTAATCCTTTTTAACTAGAAAACTGTCTAAAAGACATATGTCTTTGCCGACGCTTCAAAATTTGATGAAAATGTGTCACAGCATTATATCATGGAATAAATTTGTAGCACCAATAGCCCCGCTCACACCTTGTTCTCGCATTTCAATGATTTTACGTTTCATTTCAACAGTTATTTTTTCTCTTTTATGATTGTCTTCTTGTGGTTTTTTTTTTCGATGACATTTTAGCATAGGTTATTACACTTTGCACATAAAAAAAAAATTACCAATACTGTCTGAATACAAAATTTGTGAAAACTGGTGATCACTCACGAAAACAATACGCTAACAGACCGAGTGATAAACACAGACTAAAGCAATGGTTCTCAACCTTCCTTGTGCCGCGAACCTTTAATACAGTTTCTCGAGTCTTGGTGACTCCCCAGCAACCTAATTATTTTCGTTGCTACTTCATAGCTGTAAGAATATGTGTTTTCAGATAGTCTAAGGCGACCCCTGGGAAAGAGCCGCGCTACCCCCAAAGGGGTCACGATCCACAGATTGAGAACCGCTGGACTAATTCCTCGGCACGGAAGCCCCGGCTCACAAATGAATGTCGTGAAAAGGGACTTTCCCCTTTCTGCGTAACTCGTTATGCGAAATATCGCTCGTTAAGGGAGCAACTTCTTCAACTTTTTTTTGCTCGTTATGCGAATTACTCTTATGATAGGTCTCGTTATGAGAGGTTCCACTGCACTAGTATCAATAATAATAAAGGGTGACTGCTCCTGAAATATATGAAGAAATCCCCTCCACAATGAGATATACACCAAGCCCAAGCTAACTACTCACCATGGTCTTCCAACGTGCTAAACGTCGACATAACGTAAATATTAGCCACACGCACTACCATAAAGCTTCTACATTCAGACACCGTACATACACTTACCTCTCAATGGGGATACTATGGTGGGACTGGTACAAGGTAGGTCTATGTCTAAACACTCGCAAGACAAGTCTCGCAAGCGCGGGCTGTAGTGGTCAGTGAAGCTACAAAATTCGGTGTCGCTATATATACCCCCTCGTTCCTCCTCAAACTTCTAACCACGACGCCATCCAGTAATCAATGTCCACCCAGATAGTGATTACGTCCTGCCATGACGCCTAAATCAACTAACGCCTCAAGGCATGTCAACGTTAGTCAGAGACAACTGTATAAGTACTCGAATTCATACATCCTCTCCGCCCCCCTCCCCACCCCGGCCCAGTGTGATAACAGACGCCATACCTAGTCTTCTTACTTTCCTTAATTTCTTACGACAGGTGAACCTGTGGATAGTACTTCGACCCTGTGACACTTGGATTAAGAGCTGATAAACTGGAAGTTGAAACAATAGAATGGAACTGTTTCAATTTGAAGGCGAGAAAGCTGATTACCTAAGATCCGATATTCTTAAATATCTGAATAGTCATTTGATGGACATGAAAACAAGATGTGCCGAAGTCAATGGTTAACACAATAAATAATGATGTCACGATTTCTCAAATCTTTGATAGGCCTACAGACAATAATTTTTGTTATCGAATGATTTTATGAATACGGTGAAGAATGTTAACCCTTATTAAGTGTTTGAAAATTTGGCCGAAAATATTTGGTAAGAGTACCGGCAATATGTTTTGAAATTGAAATGGTGGTGCGGGAAATGTTTTGAAATCAATAGGGGATGCGGTACTGCAAAAACGTTAAGAATCCTTGCAAACAGCCTTGCTCCATATCTTATGCACATGATAAAGCTAGTAGTGTCTATTTTATGACTATGATGTTTACTTGTATGTAGAGTGTACGATATCCTCTTTAGTGTTGAATTTCTCCCAATTTTATCGACCAAAATGAGCAAGATGATATAACAAACGTTGAGAGTTCTCATTTAGTTTTACTTCAAAATATTTTTGTACCATATCTCATTTTTGTAAGCACATCCTAAAGTTAAAGTCCTTATTACGAGTATAAAGGAGCGAAAATTTAATTTAACATTTTAATTTTACAGCATAATCATCTCTTCACATTTACACACTCACTCACTGTTATTAAGTTAATACTAATTTGGAGAGACAGTTGACTTTATTATTTTTCTCTATTTAATAATTGAGCCTAAAAACTGTATATTTATCCCTTTAAATGTCTGCGGCTGTGTATTTGCAAAATTATTTGTGACATTAATATATTAGTGTAATTAAAGATTTAACTGTTCGAATGTCATTTAAGGTAATTTAATGCTGATTCGTTTCTTTTCGCGTTTTTTTAATACATTTTTTTTTTAAAAATAGGAATGCATAAGGGACGTTGCAATATGCGTTGCAATGTATTGAATACGCGATGTAACAACTTATTTGTAGGCTTTTCATTTTTAAATTTAGGCATTTTTAAATTTTAGTTAAACTGAAGAAGTAAGTAGTAAGTTTACAAACATATATTCTATTCACAATTATCTTTCATTTGATACCAAATTTTGTCTTACAACTGACTAATACTATAACTATACTATAATGAATAATGTCTATAACTATAAATAATAACCGTTTAAATATTTTTCAATAAACCCAACCTCTCACTCTTCTGCAGTTCCAAATAATAGCCACTTCGTTAATTTAATTAATAATTGTGTAACTTGCTAATCGATACTATTACTAGACTAGGCTATACTAAACTATTCTATTTATTTTTTAACTTAAGAATGAAATATTCAGTTTGTTGACAGTTTGTGAGTGTAAGAATAGTAAGATTAAGACACTATCCTATAAATAATAAATAACTATAACCACAGTATTACCAGTGCCAGTGCTTTAACATTAACTAATTATATATCAGTTTACTTTCAGTAGGCCTACAAATATTCTTACATTTATTTGTCTTTAGTTAGTGCTTAACCTGCTACGTTTACATAGTCTTAAGTCAAGTCTTGAGTCTTTAGCCTTAAAAAAAAAAAAAAACAAGTTAATAACCTAGACTTAGACCTAGTCCTAGTCCTAGCATACTCTAACTCTAGTAACTACAGTTACAGGCCTACTGATTATTGATTGGCATTAATGTAGGCCTGGTTCTAAAAGTAGTAGTACCCCATCATTTTAGTCATATATCATGTATCATACTATGACATGTATGTAAAATGTAATGAAATGTGTCTCATTTACATTTACAGATACTCGAAAAAAGATATTGGCTGTGGTGTGTTTAGAAAGCCATGGATGTTTTAGAGCTTACTTTTTTAGGAACAGCTTCAGCTGTGCCCACTCTAATTAGGTGTGTGTCATGTACAGCTCTTAGGCATGGTGAGTTGCAAGTAGCATTACGTTTACAATTATTTTATAACGGAATATTTCTAAAAGCCTGGTGCATCTACATTGTCTACATAAATAGGAGCCAGAATGATCAATATATTAATTGTGAGCCCTCAAAATATAGAAGAGAAAGTCAAGTATATCTTTGATTTTACTTGTGCCTAATTATTTCCTTTTGAATTTTAAGGGTAACTTAACTATCTTCACGTAAAGGCAGTCATGCAAAGCCTCTATCATGTTCTTTTATTAGGCCTGCTTGTTAAAAATTAATTATATCGGCCAAATTATAAAAAAAAATTTCACCTGATAACTTGTGTACATTTCCTAAAAGGTGTCCAGAAAATAAAATTATTTTACTTCTCTGTCATCGTAACAAGTTACAACTAATTAAACTTTAAATTTAAAGTAATGAAAGCAACAATTTTTTTTTGGTGTAAAAGTTTGACTTATTTTATCTCTCAACAGATGAAGGTATTTGGTTGTTTGATTGTGGGGAAGGCTCGCAAATACAGCTAATGAAAAGTTTACTAAAGCCTGGGAAAATTAATAAAATTTTTATAACACACCTGCATGGAGATCATGTAAGTTTCATACCTTCAGCGTAAAATAATCTGTACTTCAAAGATATTCCGTAATTAATGCATTTGCCAATTATGACTCTAAATTTTGTTCATTTGATGAAATACCATGTTTTTATATGAAAATAAGTGTACTAAAAAAGCCAGGGACGAGTAAGAGACTTACTAAAATATGGAGCGTGAATCGGAGCTGTAGTTAGGAGCTCTGGAGCAGAGTTTAATTGCGCAGAGATGGCAAACATTCTTATTGTTCCAAAGTCCGAAAGTTAAAAAATTAATTTTAAAAATATCTAGGTAAAAACTTTAATTTTTTTTGTTTCAGCAATTTTCAAAAAAGAAAGGAAAAAAAAAAGACAATTTTTTATGGAAAATTAAAATCCAAACAAAAACCAAGAAGCACATCATATGTATATTCATTTTTAAAGCTAATCCTGGAAATCTATGCAACTATTTTGTTATTTTGACATCACTATTTTCTGCTGTAATTTTATTTGTTTCGTTTATAAGTTTAATACTGACAGTTCAGAAATATAGTGTAATTCCTCTTGGTGTCTGTTTCATTTGTAAGCACTGACCATTGAAAAAAAAAGGGCTGGGGTGGAGGGGGCAAGATAGGATAGCAGTAATAGAGTATTGCACACACATTCCTAATTTTATTTAAATTTAACATGTATACTAAAGAGAGCATTTTTGCCTGGGATGATTGATCACCTATACTCCATATTATCTTTTTTTAATTTTCATTTCTGAGGAGGTGGGCTGAAGCTAACAAAAAAAAAAGATTTCTTTAACCATGCTCAGCCAATTAGTCTGCTTCATGACCCTGCTCTGTACTCATTGATTGCTGCTAATATGCTTTTATTTAAAATGTATTTCACATGTTAAAAAGGTATTGAAAAAGTAATAACGCACATTTACAAAAAGGGTTAATATTTAACACAAAATAGCAACTACACTTTATATAAGTGTAGATGTTATAGCTGCCATATAACTTTTAATATCTTTACATTCTTTATAGATAATAATCACATTATTTTTTTCTTTCCCCAAATTAAAAACTAGTACAAGTTTTTTTGTATTCTTTTTTATCAAATTTTATGTACAGAGCAGTTAAAAATGTCTGAACTAAATAAAGTTTATGGTTTTAGAATATGAGATGTACTCATTTTTTAATATCCATACAAAATGTAGATGAAAACCATACATCTGATCATACAGTTTAAAATGTGTTATTAGATTTCCTAAATAGGTAATTTGTTTTCTTCTCAGTTGTTTGGACTTCCAGGGCTTTTATGCACAATAAGTCAGAACAATCAACGAGATGCTCCTGTAGAGATATATGGGCCTCTTGGTCTACGGCATTATTTAAACACAGCCTTATGTCACTCTCGATCAGACATATGCTTTCAGTTTGTTATTCATGAGCTTCAGCCCCTACCATTTCAGTTGCCAGATAACATAGAGGTGAGACAGTCTTTATAAAGCTAAGAGTAGCATTTTTTAAAATGTTAACTCTTGCAAAATCCTTTAAATAATTATATTCTTGAGTGAGAAAACCCAAACATAGAATTATTGTCTAACATTATTTATGTATGCTTATTCTCTTTTCTAAACTAATTTTCATCACTACAGACAGCCTTCATAATCCAGACATTGATCATACAAAAAAAACAGGATTCCACATAACCGATGTATTACAGTATTTCTTTCATAACCCATAGCATAAATTTTGGATTCCTTGGAATATTAGTTTGAGAAAGACTGCGTATTCAGTTTATCTATCAGTTTACTTTGAGGAGGCCTACAAATATTCTTGCAATTTCTTTGTGATATCTTCATTTGTCATTTATCTTGTGTGCTGAAGAAGGCTCTAAGCCGAAATGTCCTAATCTTTTTGTCCTGTTCTCTAATTCAAGCTTACACATACCTTGTTTTGCAATTTCATTTACTAGGCTTGAATGCAGTGCTTTAATTATTATATCTTATTCAGAGATTGATTTGTTTTAGGGTTCATTTGTTAATGTGTCTTTATGTGCCCAACTTTTTATCTTCATATTCATTATAGATTCATTTTCTGAGAAATATTATCAAACAAATGATCTTAAATACATTTCATTTAAAATTAAAGATGTGAAAAAAATATATGCAAAGTCCGACATTTACACAATTTTTTTTACTAAAATAGCATTTTTATTCCTTAGCAATGTTCAGTTTTTTAAAGATTTTTACATCAAATACAAATAAAAAAATATAGAATCTCAATTAAAAGCCTTTTTTCTATTTTTTGGTGTCTCTGAACAACCAAATAATTTGACTTAAATCTTATTAGAATTAGGGTCAAATTCAATCAATTCAATCAAAATACTTTGTTGATTTTATGTAAAGAAATATTTAAGCTTGCAATTGTACGTCTATAGGAATGGCCATTACAAAACGACATGACAGCCCCATTTCATCCCAAAGAGTGTCCTGGCAGCATTATCATCCCTGATGAGAATCAACTGTGGCATTTGTAAGTGATTGAAATCATGAAATCTTTTTAATCATTGTGTGCTGATTTTTTTTGGTCTGTGATTTTGTACTGACTTCAGTTTAGAGATAGAATGGGGTGCAGTCTATTTATGGCCATTACCCAAGTATAGAGTTATATTTTATTATGTCACACATGGTTGAGATAACAAGAGGTTAACTAGTTATGTAGCATTTTCAAAAAAAAATTTTTTTTTACTGTACACATGCCACAGTGATGAACATTAGGCATGTGGTTCAAAGATAAAGCAGGTTTTTATAGTACAGTGATGAGCATAGACGACATGATACAAAGATGAAAACAATTCCTATAGTACATTGATGAGCATAGGGCACGTGGTAAAGATATGAATGCAGTGCACATGGTACAACAATAACCATAGATTAATACATTATGAATATATGTTAGTATTTATAGTCATTTTATCATTCTTTATAACCTCACCCCCTTTTCTCCAATCTAACTTTCCCAAATTTTGTCTTGTAATTAAATCTTTTTTAATTCAGATATTCTGATTCCAAACTCAGTGTGAAAGCAGTTTGGGTAAAGCACAGGGTTCCTAGTTTTTCATTCATTATTAAAGAGTCGGGGAAGACTGGCAAGTAAGGTGTTACACTTTTCTAATAAATTGCTTCTTAAATATTCACCCTTACCTTGCAAGATTATAGCCGAAAAATATAAATTTTATGTTTTTAAAATATCACTAAATGTAACATGAAATTAATAACTTACATTTTAATAAGATATAAAGGTTCAAGACATTTTGCTTTAAACAATACCTTGAAAAAATAAACAACACTTTTCTTTTATCTGTTCAATTTCAAATTCTTGAAGTTGATAGAGAGAACTCCTAAAAAACAAATTGCAGTTACAAATTGCTCTCTTTCAACTAATAAATGCTTACTTGTTGATTCAATTTCCTTTAAAGGCTAGACGCACAGAAATTAAAATCACTTGGAGTGTCCCCTGGTCCTCTGTATGCAAGGTTGAAGGCAGGGGAGACAGTTGTCACTGAGAGTGGAACCACTGTGAGTAAATTAACGAAGACAGCATCTTGAAAGTTCTAAATTTGAGTACACCTAAATGCCTCTAATACTGTGTATTTAATAGATAATTATTTGAAGTTGCCACTAAGTAGACTGTGCTTGATGTAATGGGAAAATGTAATGCCTGCTTAAATGTTGTCACTGATGAAGTATCTGAAGTTTACAACTATTCAAATCATGTTAATGCCCTGTTTATAAGATTGTGGGACTGGGATAAAGCTTTCAAATAGATTAATGAGATACAAAAAATTTGTGTAAAAATGTAAATGTTTTGGGAAATCCATAACTCGCGCCAACTCTTATTATTTTATTTTTAGATAGGAGACATGGGGAATTTTTGTTTGTATTATGTAAAATAAATGTATACTTATTTATATCAATGGGTTGTTTTTTTTTGTATTGATGAAGGCATTTTCCAAAAAGTTTACATTTGTTCTCTGTATAGTCATTATTAAAGCTGAACCCATATTGTTTTGTTTACAAGAGTTGTTTGTCTCTCATTAATGCCCTAGTTGCACTAATGCTGCTGCAGTGTTTTTGCATGTTGTTGTCACTCTGGGAACCTTTTCCCTTTGTAGCTATTCATAGCTGAAGACTTAAGAGAACAAGTTGATTGACCTTATGTTTTTCATAATTTGTTTCATTATATGTTTAACGATTATCAAGTGGATGAGCATGTGCTGTAAGGGCAAACAGCTCTACAATTAATAAAATTATTTAGAAAATTATTGTCACAAGCCATATAATGCATAACTGCAGTAGGCTAATTTTACCAAGTCTGCTGTGTTTTCTTTCAGCTTTTTGTTTTTAAAAATGCTAGTTTCTTACCTTTCTTATTCTTCTAAATCAAAATTTTGAGAACATCAATTTAAAATTAATGAACTTACATTTTTTTGTGAAACCACAACTACCTTTTTTTTCCCCCTCTAATATTTGACCAGATCTTGCCTTCAGATGTTGTTGGGGACTCCATACCCGGCAGAACAATTGTTATTTCAGGAGACTCATCAGATTCCAGCCAGCTGCACAAACTGGCAAATGGTGCGACAGTCCTTGTACATGAAGCTACGTTAGAAAACTCTTTACGTGATCAATGTGTACAAAATGGTCATTCTACCCCAGGTATGGAAAATGGTGATTTTTAAGTACAACCCTTGTCACATGGGGGCAGTACGAATATGCTAGAATAAAAGAATTGGGAATTTTTATAGCTATTATATATCCTTTAAAAAATCAGGTTTGATCCTGTAAAATAAAGAAAAATGTATTCTTTGCCTTCCTCTGAGCACACAACTGGAATTTGAAAACAACATGTGTTGCAACAGCATGTTGGCACCAGTTATATCATTCAGATTAAATATAACATATTTTTATAAAAAGAGGGCTTTTTTCTGCAAAAAATAAAGCTGTTATTTAAACTTTGAAATATGGCAAGTAAGAAAAAATAATGTATGGTATTATTGCATTCTGCCGCAAGTCAGATGCATCTCGGCACATTAAAACATTTACACGAAATTGATGGCCACGCAATATTGCAAATTGGCTAAAGTTATTTGAAGTTATGAACCATTTCTGATCCACAGAAATGACAGCAAGCTTAGCCAAAAGCCTGGATGTTAAACTGCTGATTTTAAATCATGTTAGTTCCAGATATAAACCTGTATCTGCAAAGCTTAGTGTGAGTAACTTTATTGTGTCAAGATAGCACAGTTCATGCCTCTTAAGTTTATATCTTGGTTGGCTTAGCTTCCACTTTCCTAGCTTTCTTTTCGTTGATATGTAGAGTAGAGACCGACCGAAAGTGATTTTCTGATTTCGGCCGAAACCGAAAAAAGGCCGAAAGTTTAAAAATGAATTTCGTCCGAAACCGAAAATGAAATATTAAGATATTTTGAAATTCGTTCCCGCATACATTCTGCTTACATCGAAAATGATGTGGGAAAATATAAATATTTACATTCTTTTTATAAAAATGAGATAATCGTAAATATTAATAAATAAAAATCTAATTTAGGGTTCTCGAACTCGCGGCCAGTGAGCCATTTGTGACTCGCAAGACGATATTTTGCGGCCGGCTACATGACAGAAAAGTTTAGTGTAAATGTGCCGGCCCGTTTCCCCCATTCTCATAATAATATATAACGTGACTCTCCGCGACAGTTTCAGTCGAATCTCACCCACTAATCTAATTCTGATTTTTTTTTTTTTTAATGTCTCTATATATTTTTGTATGCCAGCTCTCTGGCAACAGTGAGTAGGTGGATGAAAGTGAATCCTAGTTCTTGAGAACCCTTAATGATTTTTTTTTTATTTATAAAGGTTGACTAGATTGTAACAGTTGTAATCGCTTTTTGTGTGGATTACTTGATGCGGCCCACTCTCATTCAGACACTACCTCCTGCGCCGCCCCCCCTGATGATTTGAGTTTGAGACCCTTGATCTAATGAATACTTTGGATTTTACCATTTTAATATAAATCTAATTTAAATTGCTTTACAATTTTTTTTCAAATTTGTATGGTAGGAGAAAATTTGGCAGAAATTGGGGGGGGGAGGGGGGGAGGAGGAGGGGAAATTAATGCAAAATATTATTTTTTTGAAACCGGGTCTCTAAAAAATGTGGTTCTAAAAGATCACTTAATTGGTTCTTAAAGATCGCTTAGTTTGTTGTTAAAGATCGCTTAGTTTGTTGTTAAAGATCGTTTAATTGGTTGTTATTGATCGGTTAGTTTGTTGTTAAAGATCGGTGAGTTTGTTCATAAAGATCGCTTAGATTGTTCTAAAATATCGCTTAGTTTAATCTTAAAGATCGCTTAATTTGTTCTTAAAGAAAGCTTAGTTTGTTGTTAAAGATCATTTAGTTTGTTGTTAAAGATCGTTTAGTTTGTTGCTAAAGATCGGTGAGTTTGTTCATAAAGATCGCTTAGATTGTTCTAAAATATCGCTTAGTTTAATCTTAAAGATCGCTTAATTTGTTCTTAAATGTCGCTTAGTTTGTTGTAAAATATCGCTTTCGCTTAGTATTAAATGACCGAAAACCTGAGTAACTTTCGGCCGGATGGCCGAAAGTCTAAGACAATTTCGGCCGAAACCGAAGAAAAACCGAAAGTTAATTTTTCTCCTTCGGCCGAAACCGAAATTAAGCCGAAAGTTAACTTTCTAGTTTTGGCCGAAACAGAAACTTGGCCGAAAGTGATAAAATGGCCACTTTCGGCGCCGAAACGGAAGCCGAAATTCGGTCGGCCTCTAATGTAGAGTAGTTGGGTGTTCGTTAATATTATTATCACATCTGTGTCACAATCAGAAGGTATGAGGATTTTTAGGGGGTTTTCATTTGTCTTGGAGCCACACCAACTATTGGAAACATAAATAGGCAGGTGGATTGAAATTATTAGGCTATTATGCCATAATTTAAGAGTTGTAGAGAGCAAAAAAAAATCCTGAGTAAAAGAAATGAATATTTGAAATTCTGTAGCAAATTAAAATTGATCAGTATAAACATTTTCTTAAAAGGAAATTTAAAAAAATTAAAAACAAAATTAAAGATAATATTTTACCATTTGTTGTGATATTTTTTATATTGTGAAAGATTGCTTTAAAGTAGATGTATCAGAATCTGCATATGTTCAAGTTTACATATTTGTATTAATTATAACTATTTATTAATATTACAAAAATGTAGACAAATTTTTTTTAAATTTCAGGATGATGAAAAGAGTGCGCAGATCCTTCTTGACGAAGCTTTGGATATTTTACCTGCACACAAAGTGCTCTTAGCCGAGGATTTATTTGTATACAATGTGTCTAGATGATGTGCAAAAAAACATTCGTAATGGAGTTGTGAAGGAAAATTTGAACTTGATGAGCTGAACAGTTGGGCATTATTGTATTCAGTATTGTAATCTACAAGGAGTACAAGCTGGCCTCTATTGACACTGAATAAATTAAATTGTAATACATTCCATTTGTCTCTTTTTTTTTCTTTTTGTAGATTGTGACATGTTCAGAGTAATAGATTAATATTTAATTACTCTTTCTATGAAATTTAAAAGCTGTGGCTTGAAATTCCTCACTCTTCACACAAACAGTAGACTGCTAGATCAAATCAAAATAAATCAATGACATGAAACTCAACACATATGGTTAGATTTCAATTTATTCAAAACTTCTCATTAGGCCAAAAGTACCCGCTTTATTTCTGGTGTTTTCTGAAAACACAAACAAACTAGTTTTGTTTTTAGGTTATTTGTAAACAGTTAAAAAAAACATGAAATAGCAATGCAATATTAGGGGTTACCTAGAATGCCTGTTTGATACATGCTGAATGGGCCACCATCTGACACTCTTGCAGACAAACCCAGAGTTACTTGGATTCACATTTAAATATAATAGTTTCACTTTTCTGGAATTAATTATTGTTACAATTATTAAATTGCTGCATTATTGATAAAGGGGAATACATTTTTTTCAGCAGTAGGACTGTTTTTTTTTTCCTTCTGTTTTTGTGTTAATACTGTTGGGGAGACGAGTCTTTGGTTTTAAAAAAGAAGTGTTTTTTTTTTGCATGTAAAATGCTGTATTATCACAGCTGGGTTCCATCTCTTTTTCTATTTTTATGGAAAAGAGGTTGAGGCGTGGGGGAGGGGGGGGGTGTTTCCTTCTATTATATTTTTTTCAATATTTTCTTTTTAAAGCAAATTATTTTTTGGGGGATTTTATTTTTTGTGTTTGCAGCTTAGGGATCATAATGGTTTTCAAAAGATTTAATTTTAAAATGTAGCTTCTTTCTGAGGTTTTGATTTTAAAATATGTTTTTATAAATTATATTTTAAACCATATCAATCAGTAAACTGATGTACAATTATAATAAATTACTTTTAAAAATAGTCTCTCTGAGCTTTTATTGGGCAAACCTAGTAGATAGATACAATGAAAAGGTTGTAGATAGTTCCATTTTGATGTTCACTTTTTCTTTACAAAGTCGGTGAGAACAGAGCATGCTTGTAAAGGTTTGTATGGATTCGTCACTGAATGATTGTATATCTTGCTTACTAGAAACAACAGCATCTTATGATTTCTTCAGTATTAGTTTTTTTTTTAAAAAGGATTCCAACATTGCAGTCAGTATGTACATTTCATTAACATAATCAAAATATTAGTATTTTTCAGTACATATAAGTTCTATGGTATATGACGTTTTACAGCATCTGATTACGTGAACATACATTTAGAAAAAAATGACAAATTTGACAGTTTTATTTTACATAAACATTAGTTTTAGAAACATAGGAAATGTATTTATATTTTACTTTTTTAAACAATGATTCATAAGATTCATAATATCAGCATGTTGGCGTAAAAGTAATGTGTTTACAAAAACAAAACATAAACTTCTGGAGTAAAGACAGTTGGAAGGCCTTCCACACATCCTTTTTTTTTTTTATACAAATCTTCTCTACACATCTTCACTTCACACCCACACATCCTCAAAGTATGTTTTGTGAATTCTTTTCTTCATCATGAAGAGGTGTGCATCATCCTTGGACATGTCTGAAAAAATATTCAAAAAATAACAAGTAGGTAATCTTGCAAGCTGGTGATGACATGAGATAAAGATATTGTGGTAAATGATTTATGGTACCAGCAATTTAATTATGTCTTTATTTTTAAATTGCACCTTATAATTACAAAGTGTGGGAGTGGTACTAGTACTAAAATCTGAATTTGAGAGTGGCTTCCTATACTTCTTAATATTTCGTTGCTTTAAAAAAATGCAGTAAAAAAAGTTTGATTTAAAAAATATTAAAATCATAAATTTACCTTTCTCTCTCAGCAAGATATCCATAAATGCCTCATTGACATCCTTAGCCATGTTCCTGGCATCCCCACACACATACACCAAGGCCTCTTGGTCAACCAAAAGGTGGCAAAGTTCAGTTGACATGAGACGCATCTTGTCCTGGACATACCTAACTGTTGGCTCCGAGGTAGTCAAAGGTGGGTCACGGGAGAAAGTAACACATAGCTTGGTCAGGGTTCCCTCCCTTTCAAACTGTTCAAGCTCATCTCTAGGAAAAAAGAAATATTTGTCGAGAAATTTTATGTAAAGGACAGGAGGGCTTATATTATATCAGTTTCAAATTTGTGAGGCAAAAAGTTTGAATTCTAACTATTGAGTGAAATGAACTCATCGGCAATGTCAGGCAGCTATTATTGAAGAGGCTGCAAACCCTAAGTGATTGAACCTATGACCATGCTTGGACTTTCAACTGCTGAAGATCATTTTCCACATCATCTATCCACCTAAGCCTAGGTCTGCCTTTGAGCCTTTTTCCTCTGGGGTATTGGTGATGCACCCTCTTCGTTCCTCTGTCATTTGGCACTCTCTCTAAGTGTCCTGCCAAGCGTAGCCTGCCTCTTTTTATTTCTGCTACTATCGTGTGATCCTGATATAGACTGTATAATTCATAGTTGGTTCGTATTCTCCATCCATATTCATCCTTTGTTGGCCCATATATTTTCCAGAGAACTTTCCTCTCCCATGTGTTTAATAGGTTTTCTGCTGTTATTGTTAGGGTCCAAGTTTTACTTGCATATGTTACAACTGGTCTGATTACAGTTTTATAAATAGTTTTCTTTGTCTCTCTAGTAATGTTTTTACTTTTGAGTATTTTCTCACTACTGAAGTATGCCCTGTTTCCGGCTGATATTCTTTCTTTTATTTCTGTTAGTTTCTTTCATTTCACAAGGATCCTAGGTATTTGAATTGATTTACTTTTTCAAAAGTCTGGTTTCTAATTTTAATTGCTTCATCTGTTTGTTCTTCTCTTATCATGGTCATGTATTTTGTTTTTTGGTTGTTAACTTCCAGCCCTGCTTGTAGAGATGCGTCTTCTAATTCAAAAAAGGATTTTGATATGTCTTTAATACTTTTCCCTAGAAGTGCTATGTCATCAGCATATGCAAGATCCTGAAGTGGTTGGTTGTAGAGTGTATCCTGTTATCGTTCCTCGAGTTTCAATGTGTATGTTTCTAATAACTCTCTCTAATGTTAGGTTAAAGAGCATACAAGACAGTGAGTCTCCCTGTCTTAGGCCTCTTCTAATATGAAATTCCCTTGAATATTCTCCTTGAATCTTGATTTTGCTTTTTGAGTTGTCTAGTGTTACATGTATTAGTCTTGTCAGTTTGTTGGGTATCCCAAACTCCTGCAGAGTCTCATATAGATAGTTTCTTTTGATGCTGTCATAGGCCATTTGATAGTCCACATAGAGTTGATGTACTGGTATGTTGTATTCATAGCATTTCTTTAATAGGCATCTGATGGTGCAAATCTGATCAGTCGTTGATCTGTTAGGCCTGAATCCACATTGGTAATCACCTAGTATTTCTTCAGTGTAAGGTTGTAGTCTTTTGGCAATAAGCTTCATCAGTATTTTGTATGTAACATTTAATAGGGAGATTCCTCTGAAGTTTGTGTACTGAAGTTTGGAGCCTTTCTTGTGAATTGGGGTTATTAATGCTGTTTCCCACTCTGTTGGGATTTTCTCTTCTTGCCAAATTTTAGTTATAAGTTTATGTATCTGATTGTGTAGCTCTTTTCCTCCATATTTAATCAGTTCTGCTGTGATACGGTCTTGTCTGGGGGCTTTGTGATTTTTCATATATTTAATTACCTGTTTGGTTTCTTCTAGGGTTGGGCATTGTATAAACGGGTCTGGTCCTCCCTGTGGGGATTGATAATCTTCTTCTTGTTTATTGTCTGCATTCAGTATGTCCTCAAAATATTCAGCCCACCTCTCCAGTTCTTTACTATTTTCCATGATTAATTCTCCATTGTGGCTCTCACACATTTGCGGTCAGTCTTGGTATCCATTCTTTTCATCTTTTATCTTCATGTAAATTCCTCTTATATTACCCTCTCTTGATAAAGCTTCTATTTCCTTTAGTTTATCTTTTTCCCCATTCCCTCTTTTTCTTCCTACACATTTTCGTTGCTTTCCTTATGGCTTCCTTGTATGTTTGTATTGTCTTTCTGGTTTCCCTTTGTAACATGATCATTTGTGCTTTGTTTCTTTCTTCCACAGTCTCTCTGCATTCATTGTCGAACCAGCCTGCTCTATTGTTGTTTATTTAGCTTAAGCGTAATTGAAATTCTTTTTTATTGAAATTCTTTATGTTGATTTCCCATTTTGTTTCAAATAATAACTGTGCAATTAAAATTTTTTTAAGTTGAAAATTATGACATCTTTCATAGATGTGGAAGGTTTATCTAAAACGATGGACTTCTCATTCTAAGGGTCTATTAAAAGTAACCCCCTTGGATGCAACTCACCTAAATATAAAATCCTTGTCTTTATTCCTACAGCCAAAAAACAACATTGTTGTGCCATAGGCACTGCCAGATGAAAGTAGCTTTCTTTGTGCACTTCTCTGTGCTAAGAAACCAATGAAAGGAGCCACACCAGTGCCCGGGCCAATCATGATGATTGGATGAGATAAGTTCTCTGGTGGCCTGAAGTGCTGGTTTGTCCGTAAGAAAATTGGTAGCTGCAAAATCAAATCTTAGATTAAAAAAAACATGTTTGATAATGTTCAATATGAGTCAGATATGAAGACTAAAGTGGAAAAAGAAATTTAAAAAGTTATATGGTATAAAGAATAAGATGTAAGGGACTTTTTTCAATCAGTGTGAAGGAAATAACAGAACAGGATATGTGTAAGCTTGAAACGAAAAAAAAACAGTACATCAGTCAGATGAATGTTTCAGCTGTAAGCAAAAGAGAATGAGAATTTGGCCGGTAGCAGAAATAATACAGTAGTGAAAGGGAGTTGTCCAAAAGCAAAAAAATATGTGTTACCAAGGTTACAGGCCATAGAGGAATGTTGGAAATATTTTTTATAGGCTTGACAGAAAGTAATCTTGCCTTTATTTGATCAGCAATATTCCCACACTGCAGTTCAGAAGTAATGTCATCTAGCCAACCAGTACAGATTCCCCGTCGGTGATAGTAATGACCTTTGTTTACGTCAGCAGGAATCTCCACCACATTGAATACAATGTCGAGGCTTTGTGGACAGCTGTGGTAAAGTTAAAAAAAATAAGATCTTTTAAGCATGGCAGCTGGTAATTTAAAAAAAGGGATTTATTCACAGAAAGTCACTGAAGATCTGTTGGGTTCTCTGTTAGTGCATCTCTATGGGAGCACGCATTCAACATTACTCTGATTATTTTGTATTCAATTTATAATCAAGATTTTTAAATAATGATTCCAAACAGCCAAATAAATAATATAATAATAATATATTTAATTCTCTGACAGAAATTTATTATTTCCTATTACGACATGTAAGAAAAATTTGGTACAATTAATTTACCACTGACAATTGTTTTGTTTGTTAAAGGAGGATATTGTTTGGATAAGGGATAGCTGAGGATAAGGATGACACGGAGAACATGGAGTGGTGTGGGTTGGACTGTAGGGCCATAGAGGAGGAGGACAAAAAAATGTTATAAATGAACATCAGCTGGCACCAGATAATGCAGTTATAAATTTAATTGCGTGACCAAAATTTAAAAAAAAAAAAATTCAACTCAATTACAATCAGAGCAAACAACTTACCTGCATATAGAATAAGGCCTTGGCTGTAGCCTTGGTAGGTGTTCTAGAAAAATCAAGAAATACAAGCAATCAATCATAATTATCCATGTCATTGAATATGCACCAATAGATTATTTATGATGTCTAACTAGCATCAGTGAGAAACATTTCCTTCATAAGATTATCAAATTTGTATGTTTAAAATTTTAGGTACATTATTAAGGGAATATTTTTATGCTCAGAATAATATACCTATGAGTCGCTCCACTGGTGGTTGGCATGATGGAAATGCGTACAGGAAATCTAGAATAGACAACTGATTGCCTCGGATATGATCAGTGTATTCAGCAGCTCCTTCTTTACTACACAGCTCCTGCATGCGTCGTATCTGACAAGGGTTTGTCGTGTACTCTATTAGACTTCTGACCAGAGCCTAAGATTACAGATATGAATGAAATATGAGCACATGTGCCTGGGTACAATGAATCATATCATAAGACACAACTTAATTCCAAGTAGATTACACTGGTACAACACACAACTGCTGGCTATGTCCAATTATTTTAATTCTAAGATAATTAACACCAACTAAGACCATATCTTTTTTTTTTTACCTCCAAGATATTCTTTAACTAATTTATTTATATCTAGGCCAATTTTACACATTTCTGTATGCACTCCATATTTAAAAAAACAACATTACTTCATGCTCCAACCCCCTTCTTCTACTATTTTGAAAAATAATAACCGCATATAATAAACAATTCAAATTATCTTCCTTAGTTCTTGTATCTACTGCTAACATCGAAGTTTGGAAGCATTTACAGTAGATTGTCAGTTTGATATGCTGACTAAATGTAAGAAGTATGGCTATGGATATCGTCAATACTGTGTAACTAAAGATATGAAGACACACCTTACTGGGAGTTTCACGAATATTCAGGCATGTTGTGAAGATGTGTCTTAATGTAGAAGTAATGTGTATATGAGCAGGAACAGCAGCTCGTCGTTTCTGGGTGTCTGGAAGGACAGCCAGCGTAACTGTCTGGTCAGCACAATTTAAAGCATTGAGTCTATAAAAATAAATACCCGGTAATTAATACAAACAATGAAGGAGAGTTAAATATTCATTGAGTTTATGTCAAACATGCAACAACAAAAAATTTAAGAATTTTCTACATGTTTCAAGCCGTGTTGATTCCATGGATTTGTAGGGCAGTGTTTCTTTCCATTGTCAAGAACTTATTGAGCCATTACTTTTGATACACATTCTTAGATCCATTAGAAAACAATACCATTGTGAAGTGGATGCATTCCATAAAATTATGATTGCACAGCCAGTACCCTTTATATTTGTATATTTACCTCTCTAAGAGAAGACAAACTTCACTTGTGTTGTTGGCACAGAGAACAGATATAGAATCACCAGGACTAAACTCAAAACTGGAGCTCTAAGGGAGAAAATTAAATTTTTATTGCAAAAAGAAGGTACTTTTACATATTATAATGAGCACATTTTTAAAGAACTTCTTAAAATAAGAGTGCATTATTTATCTGAATGCAACTAACATTAGTCTAATCATCAGATGTTTCTTTTTCTTTTAAGTTTTTGCTCATTAATAAAAATAATAATAATAAGAGGTCTTATATAGCACGGTACCCCAGCCTAGGGCTGGGCTCACCGCGCTGTACATAAAATTTTTTATCAAAAGAGACATAATCATGACATTAAAATAAAATACATTTATGTATACAGCAATGTATATTCACCCACCCAATCACATAACTTATACAAGGCAAACCATGGACGGAAGCCAGCTAGATCGTTTATCGGTCAGAGGAGGGGAATCAGTCAGGGAAGTATAATTTAACAAGCTATAAAAAATAATAACTAATTTTTCAAAAATATAATTGCAGTTCAAATATTTATATATTTGATGTCTTTGAATGCGGAAAACAGAAAAAAAATAGTAAAAATAATTGAATTATTGAATTTGAAATGATGTTCATGTGCCACATTGGTAAAATTGCTTGCCCCCTCTACCATGAGGTGTTTGGTTTGAATTCACCCTGGGCCATCCCCAGCTAAGGGGAAATAGAGAGGTTATAACATAGCATTGATCAAGTTTGACAGCGATGCTCTGGGAGTAGATAAATGCTAATAATTAAACAAAAAACAGCAGCGGACATGGCAACAAGATTAAAACACATTACTTTCAGGTAAAACAGCTGTTGTCTTATCAGTTAAGTTACAAGTGGTGGAATAATTAATAAAATGCTTTTTAAAAAAATAATTTAATGTAACTAGAATACTAACCTCAGTATTTAATTGAAGTAATAAAGTTTTCTTTACTGAATCTTGGGTTGTGAGCACTTTAGCAGATGATAAAGTTACATTGAAGACTTCTGATGCTGCACAGGGGAGTTTGCATCCATTCTGATAATTGAGGGAGGAAGTCTGCAAAGAATATCGTTGGAACAAACATTATACAGCATCAGTATTTCAATGCAGCAGTCCTAACTAAAACCAGATATCCTTCAGTGATATGTAAGTCATTTTGGATACAGCTGATTATATTGATTTAATAAAATGGACATTTTTCTAATGACATGAAATTACATTTTTATACAAAAAACTTCAAGAAAACGTCGGATCTTAGTATTTTAATGCATACATTAATTACTTGTCTTCTGAAAATTTTTGCTGCTTAAACTAGCAAAGAGAAACGGTAATTTTCCCAAATATTAAAATTATTATATCTATATCAGTGAAAACAAAAGTAATAAACTGAGTAGAGTTTAGTAAAAAATGAAAATAATAAATTACCTCAATACTGTCGTTACAGAAGGTAAGACCCAAGTAAGGTGGAGGTAACAATGGTATTGTCAGATCTTTTTCTGATAAAGAGGTTTGAGGCTTTGTAAGTAAGGGAGGTAAGTCCTCTGAATGTTTTGTACATGAAACCGGCACACATGGTGTATCTTTCCATTCACAGTTTTGTTGCTTTGTGTTATTGAGTAAGCTGTTTTTTGGCCAATGTCCAACTCCATTAAAAAACTGTTTATTTTCTCCATTTATCTGAAGTGATGGCACATCAAATGGCTCACTTGAGATATTTATCTCTGACACACAGTGATGGTCATCCCCATCTTCTTTCACAGCTGAATCAGTAATACTTAAGCTGCTACAGATATTTTGTGGCAAAACTCTGTCAGAGTCACTGGAGACATTATCAAAGCTTGAAGATGTACCGGAATCTACCTTTGATGTTGTTTTTAAGTTGACATTAATGTTTGGGGATAACTTTGACTCCTCATTTTCAGAGAGAGTTAAACTATGAACAACTTCAGTCAGGGAAGCTTCCATTGTCTGGTTGATCCCTAGAAACTTCTGTAGAGCTGGATACAAGCCTTCAAGCCAAGGCTCTGCAACAACTTCAAGTCTGTCAACAACAGTTAATAAGTTTTATCATTGGTTGCAAGAATATGTAATATCAGATCCGATTGACAAACCAAACTATCTGTTGTCCTTTGTAATTATTAATATGGATAGTGAGACCTACAAATGTACTAATGCAATAGGATGCTTTTTCATTATATCAAAATGGCTCCTCCTATCAACATTTTACTTTAGTCGTAGCAAGACACTTTGTTTTGACATTAAGGAGCTTTATTAATAAAAAATTTTTGAACTATTTTAAGCATGTAATAAGGGTGAACTCCTAGGGAAAGGTCAAAACATGAACCATGCGGACAACACAATGCAGAACAGGAGTTCACTTGGTGTTTATTGTCTATGTAGGTGAGCAGTTTTCCCCTATATGTAGAAGTAGCATTAACATAATCATTAACTTGTGACTAACTTGGGAAAAGCATTTTTTAAACTCCCAATAGTACAAGTGAACATACAAAATTGAGTGCAAAGATAAAGAATCAGAATGATCAATCTAAAAATGTATATGGGTTTGATAAAATATATCATATTTACCCTACTCCGTCGTCAGCATGTCCAGTTGAATAGAATCTTTTTGCTCCTAATTCCTCTAATCGTGCATCAATATCTTTGGCACAGCGACAGAAATTGGAGTAATTTGTGTCTCCCAACCCTGGAAAAAGGTTATTTTAAAATATAAATAAATTTTGATGACGCTATATAGATTAATGCTTTATATTGATATACAATAATGGAAAACCAATAAAAATTTATTGAAATTTAAACTTTATTTTATAAGATATGTTCATCATTTGGCCTATATAAATTTCATCCTTTACCTAATATTGCATAGTTTAAGGATTGCAAGTAGTCATGTGACAATGTTTTCTTCTTTATCCTTCGCACAAACTTCTCTGCATTAGCAGGAGGATTGCCATCCCCAGTTGTTGATGTTATAATTACCACACACGTCTCACTTTCAAGATTGAACTGCAGACAAAAAAATTAAATGTTATTTTATTCTAAAATACAAAAAACAATTTTTATTATGTAGACAAATGGTGTGAATATTAAAAACATTTATAACATCTTAGACTAGATGTTAAAAAATTGAACAAGGTTTTATTCTAAATCATGTGTATGTCCACTCTTTCTACTGACTACTGATTCAATTCTTACTCCTGTTCCTGTTTCTTCCAAGCTATGTAAATCAGCTTTTAAGCCAAAACTGAGAGATTTTTCAGCAATTTCTTCGGCAATGGCTTGTGCTTGTCCTGTTGCTGAACCATAAACCAGAAGAAAGCGAACGTTGAAATTCTGTGTCCCTATCATCCTTTCCTTTATTGAATAAGCAGCCTGATTATTAGTTATTCATAATGATCAAGTTCTTTTAGTGTTGGAGTTGGATTGTATTAATGTTTGTTGTGGTTTTTGCCCTGGTCGGGACGTGGGTGTTAACGTTAAAGTTTAAGAGTTTTAGTTAAGAATGAGAAGAGAGTGGCTTTAAAAAAAAAAACAAAGGAAAAAAAAAATAGAAACACATGAAAAGTCATGAATCATGAATTTAATTATCTCCCAATGAAATTTAAACATCATCTTGAAAAAATGATAATAAATTACAATGAAGTGTAATGAATGATAAAACTAATGAGCAAAACGGAAAAAAATGATTCAAATGCATAAGTATAATAATAATATAATTATAATTACTAAACAAAATTATTATGTAATTAGTTAAAAATGTACCGGAAATACTAATAAATGTAATTATGCCTGTTACTGTTATTTTTTTTGAATTGACCATATGAGACAGTTAAGTTTGCAATAATTTAATAATGACTGAGAATTAGAGAACATAACTTACATTACTCATTACATAATTACATAGTATGACTTTACTTTACATTACTAGAAAGAAATTGAAACTATTTATTTAAATGTAGCCCTACATTTACATCAACTGCCGTGGACTGTTTTCGTTTTGGTTTCTCAATTTCAGTCAACGCAGTGAATGATAGTGAATCGTTTCAATTTAAAGGAAACATTAAAATTCCTTACGGCTCATGCTAAAAAGAGCCTGACTTTTTTTTTAAAAATGCGTTAACTTTCTGAAATTTAGTCCTTCCACGATAAAAACGATTCCTTTCTAAACTAATCATTACTAAATATTTCATCACTCCCAGTTGCGATGATGTTTAATAATAATCGATTTTAAATTAAATATTTGTTGTGCGATTACAATTATTTTTGCGATATTTATTGGGCTCAGATTGTTTTTATTTGAAAATAATGCTTGTTCTGTATATTATTTAATTTGTAAATGTTAAGAAAAATAATTTAAGTAAATCACATACAGGGTTTTATTTAAATTAAAGTTAAAGCTACATAAAAGATTCAGGAGTATTTCGACTCCCGACCATGCCAAGTCAACATCTTGCGATGAAATGAACCAGTTAGGTGAACTTTGGGCTATTTATATATAGTGGCATAGTGGCAGGGGAAAAATGATTGGTTGACCCATCAACTTTTTATTCTTTGACCTTTACACCCAAACCAAATACCAGTAGCTGTAAAGTTATAAAAAAATATATAAAAATACAGCGTTAAAACAAATATTTTTCAAGATGATACATTTTTGTGATTTTAAATTATAGCTTTACTTTCAGGATAATATAATTTTCTAAAGTTACGGACAAATATTTTAAACATTAACACTTATTACGAAAAATCAAAACTTTTTTTATACGGATATATATATATATATATATATATATATTAGAATGAGCTAGAGTGACGTTACTCCAAAGAGCAGAAAAGATTTAAGTACATTCGGATTCCTAAAAACAATCATAGCTATTTTCTATTATTTTACCTTAAATCGAATAAATTTAAATGCGCAAAAAATATTTTAAATCCGTTTTTATTTTTAGTAAACGTTTAAGCATTATTACAAATTACTAATACATTTAAAGTATCAACTAAGGAACTATTTTAAGCATTTTATATGTTTTTAAAAGCAATGAAAAATAAATAAAAATTAAAAATCATTATCAATGAATTACACCGTTATCACATTTATCGGGAAAACCCAAACATTATCCGTTTTAAGTACGTCTTTTAGTGAGTTGTTAATATTGCGAAATAAAATTTTTAATTAATTTGTTCTAATTAATCAAGCAAATGACGTCATAGCGCGAATTAGCCTATTTCTCCAAAACTCTTAGGTTTCTTTAAATTTAATAACCATGCATGACAAAACTGAAATGCATTTTCACTTCTTAAAAGTAAAATTAATAAATAACATTGATTGCTTTTTAAATTGTTAATAAAACACACACTCATTTCAGCTGTGATATTTTTATTTTAACATTTAAAAAGTTTCGCCTTTTTTTTCCCCCCAAAATATGTCTTTATGAATGAAAATTATAACGTAATAAAAACTAACCTTTAAATATAATTCTAATAAGAAAATGCGGTTTAAGTCAAACAGTGCAGCGCAACTCCATAGCCAAATAACATTGACTAATCCACATAACTAAAACAAAAACAAAAAACGAACCATATTACGTGCTAATTATTATAGTTTGGGTAAAAGGGACTACAATCCGGTGGAAAATTTTTCTACATTTATTAAAATCTGGGGGGAAGGGGGTTGACTTATTTGCCCCAGACAGCACAAGATAAATGTTCTCTTTAAGCCTCACGGCCACGCAGCAGTTTTGAGTATCCGCGCATCAAATTTCCATGTAAGTTTGTGTTTGTTGGCTGTAAAATTGTGCACCTAACTTTATGATTTTGCACACGAACCAGCAAACCTTAGAGGGAACATTGCACAAGATACGTCTCAAATTACGGCAACCTCTTTTCTTGGTACCCCACTCTGTTGATAGGTGACACCCTGCTCTTACGACAACCTCTTTTCTCTTACTTACTCAAGTGAAGGTGACACCCTGCTGTTGTACTAAACTTAGATGTGTTATTAGACCATTTTGATCAAACACTGTCAAATTTATTAATTTTCATTTGGTGCCATCCCCTGTGAGGTGTCATCCACTGTGAGGGTGACTACACCCAATGAGGTAGTCTACCACCTGTGAGGGGTTATAGCCCCTGTGAGGATGGCTTGGGTGCGGTCCACACCCTCACACTCCTAGTGACGATACTGTTTATGCTCAAAGCGTCAAGAGATTATGTTATATGGGGCTAACGTTTTGGACCATAAGTTATAAAGATATTGACTTGGATCACGAGGTATGGGACTATTGACTTTGAACAAGAGGTATGGGGAAATTGACTTGGACCACGAGGTATGGGACTATTGACTTGGACCACGAGGTATGGGACTATTGACTTAGACCACGAGGTATGTTGATATTGATTTTGACTACGGGGTATAGTGATATTGAATTGGACCTCAAGGTATGGGACTATTGACTTGGACCACGAGGTATGGGACTATTGACTTGGACCACGAGGTATGGGACTATTGACTTGGACCACAAAGTATGGGACTATTGACTTGGACCACGAAGTATGGGACTATTGACTTGGACCACGAAGTATGGGACTATTGACTTGGACCACGAAGTATGGGACTATTGACTTGGACCACGAAGTATGGGACTATTGACTTGGACCACGAGGTATGGGACTATTGACTTGGACCACGAGGTATGGGACTATTGATTTGGACCATGAGGTATAGGACTATTGACTTGGACCACGAGGTATGGAACTATCGACTTGGACCACGAGGAAAGGGACTATTGACTTGGACCACGAGGAATAAGACTATTGACTTGGACCACGAGGTATGGGACTATTGACTTGGACCACGAGGTATGGGACTATTGAATTGGACCACGAGGTATGGAACTATCGACTTGGACCACGAGGAAAGGGACTATAGACTGAGACCACGAGGCATGGGACTATTGACTTGGACCACGATGTATGGGACTATTGACTTGGACCACGAAGTATGGGAATATTGACTTGGACGACGAAGTATGGGACTATTGACTTGGACCACGAAGTATGGGACTATTGACTAGGACCACGAAGTATGGGACTATTGACATGGACCACGAGGTATGGAACTATCGACTTGGACCACGAGGAAAGGTACATAGAATGGGACCACGGGGTATGGTGATATTGATTTGGACCACGAGGTATGGGACTATCGACTTGGACCACGAGGTATGTGACTATTGACTTGGACCACGAGGCATGGGACTATTGACTTGAACCACGAGGTATGGAACTATCGACTTGGACCACGAGGAAAAGTACTATTGACTTGGACCACGAGGCATGGGACTATTGACTTGGATCACGAGGTATGGTGATATTGATTTGGACCACGAGGTATGGGACTATTGACTTGGACTACGAGGTATGGGACAATTGATTTGGACCACGAGGTATGGGACTATTGACTTGGACCACGAGGCATGGGACTATTGACTTGGATCACGAGGTATGTGACTATATGTTCCAATCAAATTTCAACACAAGCTGTTTTTCAGTTCTTAAATCCTTTCCACCGCAACTGGGTGTAATACACCCCGAAACTTAACCTATTAGTAATAAAACCCGTGGGAGAGAGCAGATTAAAATTTAGAAAGGAAATTAATGTTTTAATCTTTTAAAGAGATGATTGATTCTGGTGTAGATTTAAACTGTGCACATCCGGTACATATTCAAACATAAGAGACCGCGTTAACTCATTAAGTTACACTTTGGCTTATCTTGAGCTCTTTTTTTCGACAGCTGAGTTTTGTGCTATACTTTTATTTCAACGTTTCACAACTTGTTTTTTTTTTTAAAAATACAATTAAAGATAAATAATCATACCTAACTTTAATAGCAATCGTGTTAGATTTTGGCTGTGTGATTGATTTCCCTCTTTTCTCCACTTATTTCTATGAACTTGGTCTGAATAAACTTGCGTCCATTCTTAGGAACTTGTGACCCTTCTTAGGGACTTGTGCCCATTCTTAGGGGCTTGTGCCCATTCTTAGGGACGTGCGCCTATTCTTAGGGACTTGCGTCCATTCTTAGGAACTTGTGCTCATTCTTAGGCACTTGTGCCAATTCTTAAGGACGTGCAAACCATTCTTATTCTTTTCTCACCTTCAAATGTTAGGTTTTATGTAAATTTAAACTATAGTATATATAATGATGAAGGTATTTGCGGAAAAGTTTGAATTTGTTGTTTTATTTAATCTCATAAAAATTAAAGTTTTCTTCTTCTGTATATTAAGGGCCCACAATCAATGTATTGATCATTTTGGCTCCTATGCATTTAGACTGAATTTGCAATGTTTCTGTGCCTGGTGGTGATGAGGACATTTCACTGATTTCCAGTGCCACTTTGTGAGGGAATCATGCGCTGGAGGTTTGAAGGCTTGAGGCAATAGACACAAATGCGTCTAGTGTTGTCGCCTTAACTGTTCCTTTTTGAAAGCTTGTTCCAGTCCCTTGTGGTCTTTGGCAGGAAAGAGCAGCTCCTATACTGGCTTCTTGCTGGTATGAGCCTGAATTGCCTATCATGGCGTCGTCGCTGTCTATGGGGGAGAGGGACGAGTTTCAGTTAAATACTGGAACAGTGGACCAGCCCATTATTTATCTTGTACAACATTGAAAGCCTGAAATTCTCGTCGTCGTTCCTCCAGCGGTGACCAGCCTAGTGTTTCCAGCATGCTGCCAACACTAAAGTTATTCCTGTAGCGGTTTTACACATATTGATTTATTCACGCATATTGCATCTCATTATTTGTATTTTATAATTATTCTTATCATATTAAACCATGCACATTGATTAGAGCAGTTGCTCACAAACACCGGTAAAATATTTCCTCCGCGTATCTGCTGTACATGCGATGATTAGACTGTGATAAAGTGAGGTTTAAACTTGTTAAGTCATGTAACGTATTGTTCCTAGTATAGACCGCTACTAAATGCGAGCCGTATTTATGTGAGTTAAAGAAAGTAATTAAACGTTTTGCAAAATCCATCTTAACTTTTAAGACTTAAAACATTTGGATGATAAAGTGCGGCATATACTGGTAAAATTGTGACGGACGAATGTTTAAAAAAAACACTGGTAACAAAAATAAACAATATAAACTGTATATCGCAGAATATACTCTGCATAGATCAAGTGACCTCCGATTTTATTCTAAAGATTAAGATAAGATAA